GATTGCCTGAGCCCACGGGTTCGAGACCCGCCTGGGTAACTCGGTGAGACCTCATCTCTACAATAAATCAAAAAAAAAAATTAGCCAGGCGTGGTAGCGCCTGCCTGTAGTTCCAGCTACTTGGAAGGCTGAGGTGGAAGGATCGCCGGAGCTCAGCAGTTCGAGGCTGCGGTGGCCGGGAGCGGCCATTGCACTCTAGTCTGGGTGACAGAGTAAGACTCCAACTAAAAAAAAAAAAAAAAAGATGTAGGGTACAATTCAGGATTAGATATACAAGTGGGCATTGTAGAGGAGAAGTTTGGACCTCCCATTGGTTCCCACTTTGTCTAGTTTGAGATCAGTTACCTTATTGATGTTGTGTTTCCCCCCAGAACTAAAGTTTCTAAAAAACATAAGATGGTGATACAATAACAGTGATTCAACAGGCAGTCTCTTCACAGACATGAATACAACAGCTCTGTGCATTGGGCCTGAGCTCACGTGGGGGAGGCAAAGCTAACTAGAGGGGTATCCTGCTCTCACGCCCGTGACAAATTAATTGTCTACCAATCAGAGCTCAAATACCACACAGGTTAAAAAGTGATTATTCTCAATACCAAAGGATTTATGGATGGTGCCTATTAAACTATGTATGGATGGTGCCTATTAAACTATGTATCCTAAGATATTTAAATGTTGATATGATTTTCAAAATAGTTCATCTATATACTAAATTTCAAGAAAACTATTCAAGGAAGTTTCGCTGGTTTAGTTTTATTTTGTGCAACTACTGTTTAAAACTTTTCTTCATCTTCCTAATCCAAATAGGTCATTTTACCCAGAGCATGGATGGCAGCAGATGTTTTAATGATATTCTGAGGCTTTTACTTTATGTTTTAAGGATATTCTGAGGTTTTTACTTTATTTCATTTTAAAGTAAAAACCATTTAGTTCTTTCTGGTAAAGAAAAAATATGTTTTTTTTCCCTAGAAGGCTGCATCCAGATATCCTGAGTTAGCGACTTTTCCTAATGGAAAGCGCAAAGCTAGGCATAGTTTTGGGTTCCCAACTATATCCTTCCATGGTTCCGCCCTCCAACTATCCCCTGAATCCTAAAAACACACATTTTCCAATCTCCTTCTCATTTGGTTTTGTAGACATAAAAATATTTAAGTAATCAAAGTCATTCTTCTGAATCCACCTCTTTGGGGCTTTTTCCTAGTTTATGGTGGTCTATGTCTGCCTAGGAAGCACCACTCTCAAGCACAGACACACATACCCCACAATTATAACTTGTACTGTATCCTCTCCAGACAAAATTCCATTGTTCAGTTTTTCTCTCTGATCTGCCCAGCATTCCTCTCATTCATGTCTTAGTACAAAACAACATGACATAGGGGTTTTAGTGGTTTATAGACTTGCTGTTGGATGTCATGTTTGTTTTTTAGCACCAGGGTGACATGACACTCTGCCCCAAGCTTGTGACTTCAGTGGTGGTAATCCCACAAGTACTTTAATGTATTGGGTTCTGCATGTTTTAGCAACTGTTTTCCAGTCACCACTACTTAGCTCACCATCCCAGGAAGGAGTGTGGAGGAGAGGGAACATGCTAATAACTCAAGGACAAGCCACTTTGCATCCCAAGTCCCTGGATTCTGTCCCTGTGCCTTCTTCCTGGCAGGGGCATGGTGGCATTTCCTGGTAGAAGAAACACGCCCACAGTAAAAGAGAAGCTGTCCTGTGAAATACAGAAGCAAATAAGAAGTACACAAGGGAGTACCCAGGGACTGTCTAATTGCAGGCCTACCTTAAATGAGCTTAGGCTCCTTGTCAGTGACCCAGTAATTCTGTGTATGTTTTGCCCTGTGGGATTAAAAATCATTCTAATTGCTCAATAGTCACCCTTCATTTCATCTGAACAGAGGCTATTTTCTACTGCGGGGAAAGTCAAAAGGAACTCAAATGGGAATTTCAGGTACCTGGCAAGCTGGTGACTGTTTAAGCCAATATGTTGTTTTAGCACATCTTTGTGACTGTTTCAGGCTATAATTCTTCTACAGCTTCCCTGATTCTTGCCTTCAGAGCTCACTTTGGTCCAGAGAGGCTGCTCTGGTTATGGCTGGTACACCTACTTTCACAGGTCTTATGACAATCACTTTCATAGGTTGTCTGTGCTTTTTTATCAAGGCCTGTGGTAAGGTCCTTTTGCTTAGTGGAGAGGCTAGAATTGCTGCTTTGGGTCTTCTCATTCAGGTGTTCATATCTTTGCTAGTCTGTTGCCCTCTGAAGCTCCAATTTCTTATATTATAACACTAGTTCTTGATAATGAATCAGAGCTTGGTTAAATACCACAACTTGACAGCTGGAGATAATTCAGACCCTCTTGATCTTCAACAGCAGCAAATGTGATCTACGTATGGGTTTATAATCAGAATGGCTTTTATTAAAAAGTCAAAAAGTGACAGATGTTGGCAAGATTGCAAAGAAAAGATAATGCTCATACACTTCCATTGGTGGGAATGGAAGCTAGTTCAGGCCCTGTGGGAAGCGGTTTGGAGATTTCTCAATAACTAAAAATAGATTTACCTTTTTACCCAGCAATCTGACTACTGGGTATATTGCCAAAGGAATATTAGTCATTCTACTAAAAGACATCTGCACACATGTATTTTTTGCAGCATTATTCACAATAGTAAAAACATGGAAGCAACCTAGGTGCCCATCAACAGTGGACTGGAAAAAGAAGATGTGGTACATATATCCCATGCAATACTATGCAGACATTCAAAAGAACAAAATCAGGTCCTTTGCAGCAATGTGGATGAAACGGGAGGCCATTATTTTAAGTAAATCAACACAGAAACAGAAAATCGAATATGTTCTCACTTATAAGGGGAGCTAAACATTGTGTACACCCAGGCATAATGATGGGAACAACAGACACTGGGGACTCTTAAAGGGTGAATGAAGGAGAGGGTAAGGGTTAAACAACTACCCACTGGGCACCATGCACACCATTAGGATGACAGACATAATGGACGCCCAGAGGTGAGTGGATTGCCTGAGCCTGCGGGTTCGAGACCCGCCTGGGCAACTTGGCGAGACCTTATCTCTACAATAAATAAAAAAATCAGC